GTTTTCATTTTCATTCCATTGAAAGATGTGGCAGGTAGAAAATGATTGATATCGGGGATGAAAGAAAGAACGTTTTGAGAACATGTGCTCTTTTTTCTCCCCAACAAGACGTTATCGGTAAGGCAACTTACCTTATCAATATCGATAAAATAGAAAAAAACAAACAGCAAAAACCTCTGTACCTTTGAGAAATTCCTCTTGATTCTGTGTACGTCATGTGCATAGTCTCTTTCCTCATCTAAATGTTTGTGCTGCCCACATTTGTCTTGTTTCTACACAATGTCAAGCATGCTTTTACTTTTGGAAGAAGAAGAACAATTTATATAATTTATGTAAACTTTCTGTTTTTTTTAAATGTCTTGCTGTCTCTCTCGCCCCCCTCCCCCTCCCTCTCTCTCTCTCTCTCTCTCTCTCTCTCTCTCTCTCTCTCTCTCTCTTTCAGTCTGTATATTATTATTTGTTCTTATTGTTATTGATGATGATGATGATGATGATGATGATGATGATGATGATGATGATGATGATGATGATGATGATGATGATGATGATTTTTTTTGTTTCTTTGATGGGCCTGACCGACTCCACGAAGAAATCTTCGAGCGAGAGCGAGGCTCTTTTTCGGCTCCATTGTAATATACTTAGCGGCACCTCCACTCGTCCAAATAACTCCATTCGAATTGCCATTGTTCCTGGACATTCAAACATATGTTTGACATCTTCCTTTTCATGGCCGCATCTTCGGCAACATGGGCTGAGCTCTTCATTTACAAAGTTCTTATACCATCTTAAACTCCAATGATGGTCCGACCGCAGTCTCGCTAGCTCAACCTGGTCCCAGCGACATGTGACAGACTTTTGTTCCCGCTTATAGGAGTTCCCAGAATACACATCTTCCAGGTGCTGGTACTTAGTTCTACATGGTGGGTCTTTGATTTCCCTCTTGATCATTGGAAAGACTCCTCTCTATGTTGTTGGTCGTCTGTTTCCTTCAATCTCTCTGGCTTCATTAGCAGCCTGGTCTGCTGCCTCATTTCCTTCTATTCAAACATGGCTTGGAATCCATTGGATTATTATTGTGGCTCTGGCTTCACTAAACTTTCGGTGCAAATCATTCATGTTGCCCAGCAGCCCCTTGCAGAGGGACTGACTGTCAGTTAATATCAGCACATTGGTCCTACTGTGGCAATTGTCAGCAATCCATTGTGCAGCAGACATCATTGTCTGACATTCCTCGTCATAAGATGATGTAAGGAATGCACCTTTAGTTTTAATAATTTCTGTTCGTGGTGGTTCATCATTCATTATCCCCACTGCTGCTGCTCCACCTTCGCGGTATCCTGCGACAGCCGATCCATCGGTGAAAATTGTCACATCCGCACTAACCTCTTTGATCACATCCTCAGCTGCTTCACGTGCCTTTACAGGATCATCACCTTTTCCTTTTACTCCTCTTAGTTCTGTCTGAATTTCGATTTCGCCATGGGTCTCCCATGGACAAGCTCTCACCATATTGATCGGCCATTGATTCTCTGCTTTAAGGGGGAGGTGGTCTGCTAGATCGGTGCCCATCCGAAACCAACTGTTCCTGCTGTTTTTAGGCTTGACTGCTTGATCAAGGGCTTTCTTTCTATGATGGTTGTCTGGTAATCTCTTAGCCATCTCTACAGACTTGAGGCACGTTCTTTTCTTATAGGTGGTGTTGTTCTCAGTTCTGGTCTCATAGCGCAGCGCTTCTGTAGGTGTTGTTTTCAGCTGACCTGATACAAGGCGGAAGGCTTTGTTTTGTTTTCTGTTCAGGACCTTTGCACTAGTCTCACTCAGCCAAGGCTGCCACGCTGGGGCAGCATAATCCATCTTGCTTTTCACACACATCTGATATACTTTCTTGAGAGACTCCTTCCCCCTGCCCCATTTTGAGTTACTGACAGCACCGACGACCTTCATTTTTGAGGTTGCACTTTTGGACACCTCCTCAATGTACTTGTTGAAGGTTAGCTGTCTATCCAGGTAGACGCCCAGCAGACTTGGAGTGGGGTTGAATGGTATCTTTTTCCCTTCGATCTGAATTATTGGTTGCCACGTTGCCTCTTTCACCCATGTTGAGAAGAAGCACACTTCATTCTTGGTTGCATTCAAGGTAAGCTTCCATTCATTGTTCCATTTTACAACCATGTCCACAATCAACTGTGTCGCTTCATTTGCCTTTTCTCTCTTTGCGTGACTGGCCAGTATTGTGCAGTCATCAGCGAACATTGAGTAGATCAGCTTGGCGGAGGTTAGTTGTTGTGAGTCAGGGTTTGGGAGGGATTCTGCCAGGTTGTTTATGAAGAATATAAACCGCAGCGGTGATAGTACAGCTCTTTGGGGAATCCCTTGCTTGAAAATCTGGCTCTTGCTTGTTTCTCCATTCAAGCGAACACGGGCTTGTCTGTTTCTCGGGAAACCATGGATCCATCTAATTGCACGCAATGGAACTCCCTTGTCAGCCATTGACAGTAATAGTCTTTCACGCCAAATCGTATCATATGCCTTGGAGTAGTCCAGCAGGACTTGGACTGATCGATGGAATGTTGGCTTTTGTTGAAAACCATCCTCAATTCCTTTACAGATTCTGATGATCTGGTCCGTGCAGCTATGACCTTGGAGAAAACCTGCCTAAATATCTGCAATCCACTCATTCTTCTCTGATAGGTAATACATTCTTTCAGCGTGCATCCTTTCTATAACTTTCAAGACACAGGATGTCAAACTAATGGGTCGAAAGGATGTCATATCACAAGGTGACTTACCAGCTTTCAAGAGAAGAATAATAAGTGCCTTACGCCAGTCTTTGTGGGCACGCTGCTTGGTTAAGCGACAGATTACATATGCTGAGCAATTCTTTCATTGCGAGTGGGCCAAGCTCTTTCAGGAAAGATGGTGGTATATCATCAGGTCCTGGAGCACTTCTTCTCTTCATGTGTGTTATGGCACGTTCCAGCTCTTTCATGATGAAGTCTGGGTATCATTGTTGTTCATCTTCGCTGTTCACATCGTCATACAGTAATCGCTTCAATCGGAGTTTGTTTCTTCTGCGCTCCTCTTGGATAAGTTGGAGCTTACTGATTTTTGCATAGTGTTGGGCAAAAAGCTCAGCTGTCTTCTTTGCTGATGATATCCTTTTCCCGTTGTGTTTCAGTACTTCGTTGAGAGAGTTGGTATCTGGTGATCCACTTGATGAAACTCCCAAGTTTTCCTTTCGTCCAGATAATTTATCATGCCATTAACTACCTCCTTCAACTGGTCAGTCTTTGCTTCTTGGACAGCCTCTGTAACATCTTTGCAAGCTGGTAACCATTCCTCCCTGTGTGAGGAGATATTTTTTCTTAGCTGGTTTCTTTTCTTAATCAGTCCACGATGATGATGATGATGATGATGATGATGATGATGATGATGATGATGATGATGATGATGATGATGATGATGATGATGATGATGATGATGATGATGATGATGATGATGATGATGATGATGATGATGATGACCAATCTTTATTATTATTATACATATTATTATACATATTATTATAATATTATTATTATTATCATTATTATTATTGCCGTTGTTGTAGTCAGTGTATGTAGTTTGCGGTTAATGATGGCAATTGTGCTACTCAATTTTTTCTCACCATTGTTTTCCCTCGCACTCACAGTTTTATCTAATTTTGCACGTTTATTTATTTGTTATTGTTATTTTATTGTTGTTGTCATTATACATTATTTAGTTTTTGTTTTGCTCTCATTTATTAAAAAAATATGGTTATGAACATTTTAATAAACCTGTTATAAAAGACTGGCATTTTTTAATTATTTTTTTTGCTGCTTCTGAACGTACATATCCCGGTGATTAGCTAGTTGTAAGACAGCTTGTAAAAATCCATCCGGCGTAAGTGCGAAAAAAAGCGTACTTACAACAAAGACATTAATCAAAGCAAAGAAAGAATGAGGTACACAGCAGAGGGGAAAAAACAGTAAACGGTTAGTGGTGGTGGTGTACCTAGGTCCCAGGTACAACTACCACAGAGCTGGCAACCTTGTTAGAGCGGAGTGTTATCGTAGGTAGTCGACACACTTCTGTAGTCGACACACTTCTGGCGCCTCAGAAATATGATGACAATATTATTATGTTGAAATAGAAAGGCAGTCTGTGGGCAGGGAGCCTGTTAGTAAATACAGTTGTCACGTTCTGAGAACTACGTTTGTCTGTCAACTAAATAAAGTCGTATATTGTTACCGTCTGTCTGTCTGTCTGTCTGTCTGTCTGTCTGTCTGTCTGTCTGTCTGTCTGTCCGTCTGTCTGTCTGTCTGTCTGTCTGAATACGAAAACAGATATTATGTCGAGAGGAAAATGTATGGGTTTGTTTTTTTTACTACATTGTACCTCCAAAAGGTCAGCGAAGAACAAAGTGCGCAAAATAAAGTTTCTAGGCCGTCGGTCCCAGTCGCCCTGACCTCGCTCAATCAAAACATAGAACGCACACACAAGTTAGGTGTAATACAAATGTTGCTCTAAACTTTCCCCTGTTTTTTGCAATATTCTCATTTTATTTAGGTGTTAATACGCAAGACCTAAACGCCGAGAGGTGAAAATAAAAATGAAAGTAATGTGTATATAACATTGACTACACTGTACGTTTTGCAGGTTGAAGAAACGACAAGAATAACATCCATGCTCTCAAATCATACACAGCAATGCCACTTTTGAGGAATTTACGCAGAAATAGTTACTATTTATACTCTTATTTTTAGCGTGCAGAAGTACAACACACAACAAGCTACACTACCAGCAACACAAGCTCAAAGTAATAGGGTAAAATAATATAAGAGAGAAAACATATGGATGGTAGGAGAAGAACAGGGAAGGGGGCGTAGGGAGGAAGAGGGGCGGGGGGATATATATTTCAGATTGATTGCTATCGGAGAGAGAAAGAACAAGCGACGTGAGACTAGAACACCACAAACCTGTCACTTCATACGGTCCTAACAACACACTGTCATCATTTTCGCCTCCGCGAGAGAGGAAGTCGAGCCCCCTCCATCCCGAAACTACCAACAAAGTGGGATTACTTATGTGTGAACGGAACAGGAAATGTGATTTCGGGTTGTTTTTTATTATACTTTTTAAAAAAACTATCGGACTAGTAATTTAGCACTGTCTCCTTGTTGCTTGCTGCTACACGGATACGCTTTTACACCCATCTGGCTGCCCCATAAGTTTATGAAAAAGAGTACCTAACCCAATTAAGTTGTTTTCTATAACAATTTTTATTTGCTTTTACAAAATTGTATTGTTGTTGCTGTTGTTTTTTAAAAGGAATTTAAGAATTAAATTGAAAGCTAAGTATAATGATATTTTATGCCGTGCTTGATTAAATAAGTTAAAAATGTAATGTCTTTGACTTTTTTTTTTTTTTACAGGCTCGTTTGAAAGAAAAATCTGAGTAAAACATAGACAGTCAGAGAGAGAGAGAGAGAGAGAGAGAGAGAGAGAGG